CTGAAGTCCCGAATCTCAGGCCTTCTCTCTCGGCGGAAAGCAAGCAGCAGGTGCTCGCGGTAACAGCGCTACTTGAGATAATGGCCCTGCTTGCGTTTTAATCATGATGTAATGATCATGACTTGAGATTTATGTCGGAGTGATATACTTACATGCTACTCACGAATAAACTCGTTACAACACCAGTCACAAAGAATCTGAAATGGTACAGAAGTTTAAATATCTAGGTGCAGAAATAGATGAGAGAAGTAATATAACGCACACCATACAATCCGGCGATAAGGCATACACATTGTGCCAACCTACAGTCACTAAAACCTAAGTATATAAAACATTAATACGTCCCGTAGTGACATCAGCAGTGAGACGTGGGTGTTAAAAGGGAGGAGATAAAAAATAATTTAAGAAGATTTGAAACAAAAATTATTTATATACATACTTATCAGTTAAGTACTTGTGATCTTTTGTGAAGAGTTTGGTGTAGGCTTCTCTGAAACTTGTTCTTGTGCCCAGAACTCTATCCCCTGTGCCTTCAATCATAATTACATCGCCGTTCGAGGCGTTGAACTTCCATCTCTACTAATTAATACTGTCACGTGATAGAGTGACTGTAGACGGGGTTGGATTGGTAATTGCATTTATTCAACACTTACAGATCGTAACTCCACGTTAGATGCGGACTGACTCGTCCTCGGGGCGGCCTGCGGACATGGAGGGTAGCTGCGAACGAGTGAGTACAGAACGTAACTACAAGTAGCTATATCGCTATCGCTAATTCACACACTCAGTAGTTCATTACAGCACGTACTTGTCTGGTAACAGCTTCCAGCACAGTAGCTTCCTCAGCTTCCGTATTCACGTCTCCACCTCCTCGCTGGCTGTCGCCTATTTCACTGCAGCTCCAGAGCTGAACTAACTGGTTTCCAACTGTTGAACTCACAACGGACAATCGACTCCGTATGTAGCTGCATAACGGGCCGCATAGAAAATACCTCTCCCAACAGTTCTTCTATTGTTGCATCTCGTGTTTATCGCGCAGACCACGCAGAGAACACCATTCCTGTGTTACTGTTTACGAAGCTTCATTGCCACATTCACAAGAACCTTCCACTGGACTGCATCCGAACCAGACGGATCCAGTACCCACATTCGCATATTCGTATTTTCGTAATATCCTTGTTTAACCAACTTTGCTTCTTTTGCAATAATAGAAAGAGCCTTATGAGATTGCCTTGCTGTCTCTATATCCATCTATGCCTCTCTGTATATCCCCGAACTCATTTTCATTATGAGGCTTTAAAGATTGCTGCCTGCTTGTTCCCTTTCATTTCATATTTTCTGTATGACCCTTGTCATGTCCAAGGAAAGTAGGTGATTAGTTCTTCCCAGAACTTCTTCGTTTTATCATTCCATATAATTATACTGTGTCAGCGTTTAGCCCAGTCTCTATTCGGCGATGTTTAATACGCAGCTTGACGGTTGTGTAGATATATAGGGATTCAGTCCGTACCTCACAGGAAACACATTACGTCTCCGCTACAAAGACCAACCGGTTAATGCTGTTTAGGGAAACAGCCGCTGTTTATTGTGAGAACCATACGGAACACATAGATACACCGTGTGGGCAGAATGCAGAGACTTTATATATAAGAATTCAGTCCGTACCTCACAGGAAACACATTACGTCTTCGCTACAGAGCCCAACCGGTTAATGCTGTTTGGGGAAACAGTCGCTGTTTACTGTGAGAACCATACGGAACACATGAACGGTATTATGTGGGGAAAACGTCGAATTCCTGAATGTTCAAGCCGGTGGTACATATAGTTACCGCTGTACTTTGAAGTGCCAAATGTAAATACAGTTTGTAACACGGTATGTGTAGAAAAATTAGACGTGTGTTTTAACCACTAGGCATGCCATTTTCATTTTTAACGAGAGACTGAGCATGTCGCACGAGTTGTCATATTGGCCGAGACCTGCTACTGCTGGCGCCACAGTTTAGCTACCGGCCGTGTTTTCATTGCGAACCGCAAAACCGTTATGATTAAATAAATATTGACTGGGTGGAAATTTGAAGCCAACATTTACAGATCTAAACCCAACATATCAAAAAAAAAAAAATAGAAAAGTGAAACTTGCAGTAAGAGATTACACAATAAAATATAAATACGAAATTGGCACATGCAAGCAGATTAGAATGAAGGAATGAAAGTGTGACAGTTTAACAATAGGACCATCCAACTGTTGGCAATACTGCTGAGTTGTTGGATATTGTGACTGCAATGCCCATAGACCCTCATGTAACGCTGTAGACTTGAATTCCCAAGGTCCTCCTTCGAATCTCACCCTAAACACTGACTTTCATGACTGTGGCTTTTCATGGTTTTATCCAGTTCCTACAGATAAATGCTTGGATAGTACCTCGATTTTGTCGCTACCGGTTCCTTCCGTATCACTTATAATTTGTCCCATCGTCCGACGTTCTGTAGTCTTCGATACTGGCAATGCTGTTAAATAATTCACGGAAAAACGTGGCTCACATTTTGTGTCATGCAGTGATTAAAATTCAGTTTAAACTGCATCTGCAGTAAACGTTTTATTCGTGTGTTAAAAGTATTGGCTCACAGAGTAATCCCATAGAGGAGATCCTGGAGAAGGTAATAGTCACCTATTCAAGAATGTATCCGCTTTTATGTAGCCGAAAGCTTTTTTTCCGTGTTCACAACAGCTGCACCACTAGATCCATATCCCCCTGCGATCCTTTTCAATATTATCCTCCCGTTTATGCCTACATCTAAGGATACAACGAACTGTACGGACCTAAGGTAGTCCAACAAACATATGCATGATTAGAATTTCTGCTTAATATTTGAGAGTTTTGGATTCGAACCTCAGACCGGATGCGGGCTCTGCTGATTGAGGATTTTCGTGGTTTTCCTCACTTTTCGCGAGTCTGATGCATAACCCAAGCACAGAAAGTTTGTTCGGGTTAAAGTGTGACTAAAATATTCATAGCAAGTCACTGAAGAAAATTAAGTGCATACATTTAAAATACATTTCGCCTGTTGCATTGATCGTAAACCCAACTAACCAAATGGAGCACAATATTCCTTGGGAAGCAAACACTCACAGATCTGGTCTACAGATTTCCCCTACTTATAGAACCCGAAATTTCTTTCACAGGAACCCGCCATTAGCCCCTGTTCAGAAACAGATGAATCCAATCTTCACCTTAATATCATATTCTTCAGTGTCCATTTTAATAATATCCGTCGTTCACACCTATTATCCATATTTTTCTATTTCATTCAGATTCTCCTGCCAAAACGTATGCATTTCTCTTATCTCAATATGGGCTACGTCCCGCACCCTTCTCATTCTCCTTCATTTTATTGCCCTAGCAACAAAACTGTGACCTGTAGTCCGCAAGCGAACTATACCGACCGAGCGACCGCCGCTTGTCGGCGAAGTTAATAGAAATTATGAAGCGCCTCCTCATGTAGTGCCCTTTGTCGTCCTTTCATTTCCTCCCTTTCAGACCCAAGTATTTTCCTCAGACACTCTCATTGTACATTGTTCTTATAGGGTGAGAGACCAAGTTTCTTACCCATACAAAACAGCAGGAAACATTACAATTCTGCATATTTTAATCTTTACATGTTTAGACAACCGACAGGAATACAAAAAATTCCGAACTGAACGGAAACAAGCATTCCCCGAATTTGATTTGCTCTCAATTTTTGTGACTTCAATATTTATAAAAGATAAAAGAGGTAAAGATATCCCTGTAACAGGCCGTGGAGGCCCATAGGGTTGTGAGACGTCGAGGCTCCCATATTTTCTAGATAGTCGGCTCACAGGTGGCGGTAAAGTTGTTAGCCTTAGGCACAGGCCGCCCTTTACCCCCAGCAAGATTCCTAGTACTCATTTCTGTTAGAGGATGAGTCGACCCCAGGGCCATAGTGTGGCTGGAAGAATTAGGTAGACTGAAAAAATCCAGTGACTTCACCGAGAATCGAGCCTGCGACCTTCCGGCTTGTAGCATAGTGCCCTCAACCAACTACCCTACCGCGCACCCCCCTTCAATTTTTATATGTTACTTATTTGTTAATACGGTCGCGCCATAGCTCAAGCGGTTAGTCGCTGTTTTCCCACTGCGGCGGCCCGGGTTCGATCCTGGGTCTGGTCAAGTGGGATTTGTGGTGGACAGTGGCGCTGGAGCAGGTTTTCTCCGAGTACTTCGGTTTCCCCTGCCAAGCTTCATTCACCAATTGCTCCACAATCACCTTCACCTATCATCTGGGGCTGGTACAATAGACCAGAAGTGGCCGCAGAACAAGGGACTTAGTCCCACCCCACTAGCAATAAAAAAAATATTTGTTAATACGCAGTATTTCGAAGAGATCTCTTATACTCCAGCCATTGTACGAACAAAAGTACGTCACACCTTGAGCAGGCAACCTTGCGGAAGAAAAGTCCCTATGTAATATGTGCGGAGTATATGGAGTGTGTGCCGGTCACGGTAGCCGAGCGGTCTAAGGCATGCTTCGCTCGCTCGGAAACCGAGATCGTGGGTTCGAATCCCACTCAGGGCATGGATGTTTGTGTGCGTTTTTCTGTGTTTGTCTACAGGTAGAGGCCTTGCGACGAGCTGATCACTCGCCCAAGGAGTCCTACCATACGTGTAAGATCTAGAAAAACCGAAGTGAACGGAGAAGTTCATGGAGGTAGGCCTAGGTCCACTGGGGCTGTAGTGCCAAGGAAAAAAAAATATATATGGAGTGTCTGGCATATGATTACCGGAAGTAATCTGAAACAGATTATAATGATGGCGCAGTGATGTACGTCACTGTCTGATGATGACGCAGGCTTGTTCTCATAGCAGACCGAGCATAGCTGTATCTATGTGTCAGTACTGCGGACATGCAATTGTCAGAACTGACCCAGCTCAGCGAGGTAACTGCCCCCGGCATTTTTAACAACTTTAGAGCAGGAATTACTGTCAGGGTTTAATTCTTGATGAAAGAAATCACGGACAGTGGGGGGCTGCTTGTCCGTCAGTATTTAAATTCATTAAATTCTTATCACTAATCGATTTACTGTCTCGTGGATTGATTTAAAAATTAATCGATTTATATAAACAAACACAAAAATATGGACAGTTATTTTGCATGGGTGTGAAACTTGGTCTCTCGCCCGGAATAGAGTTCATAGACTGAGGGTGTTTGGGAACAGGGTGCTGAGGGAAGTATTTTGTCACAGAAGGGAGAAAATGGGAGGGGAAAGGAGAGAGTTGCCTTGCGAGTGGCTGCATGATCTGTATCTTTCACAAAATCAAGGGAACTATAGAGGAGATAGGCGATGTAAGAAATGAATACAAAATTTTTACTGAAGAATCTGAACTGAAAACAGAGCTGGTGAGACTTGGGCATATATGGGAGAACAAAATGAAGGTCAGGCTATGTAGAACGCGTGAGAATTTTCTGTGAGAACTTCATCTTTCCAACCTGGATATTTCCAAATCTGCATCATAAACTTAAGCCACTCTTCTTAATGGCAAAAACGTAAAATCCTCGCTCTGCTTGATCAAACATCATGCCATGAAGCAGTATGGGGACGTGCGAGTGTAACTCCAAGTATTCTTAACTTCGATGCCAGATGGAAGTGTGTACTCAGATTCACTTCACACCGCATCAATCCTGGACAGGAGGCTGGATGGTTTCCAAAGC